AGAGAGAGAGAGAGAGATACCTGATCATATTGGCCGCGCTTTCTGCCGGAGAAAGCCAGGTGCAAACCCTTAGCCAAATCGCTATCATACAAAGCCCTAGTTTGGGGGTCAGAAAGGGTCTCATACGCCTCCTGAACCCTAATAAACCTCTGTGTGTACTCCTCCGTACGGTCCGGCGGTGACACGTCCGGGTGGTACTTTCTCGCCAATTGCTTGTAAGCTTTCTTAATCTCCAATAAATTCCCACTCTCCGGTATACCCAACAAGTCATAGAAACTCTCCGTCGTCTTCTCCGGCGAGTAAACGGCGTTAATTGACGCCCTTGTTCTGGTCCTGTATGACCCGGATGGAGATCTAAACGAAAGGTTTGGTTTTGAGAAGTGGGTATTGCAGGAAAGGTGAGAACAAGGCTCAAGCATTGATCTTTTTGTTGGATTGTAGGGCTTTGAGCAAAGAGAGAAGCCAGGTGCGCCTCCAGAGATCACTTTGGAGCTCATTGCCTTGCTTTTTTCGAGTCTGTTTGAGTGCTGAGTCTTTTCTTTTTTCTCTGTTGTGTTTGTGTGTGTCGATGTTGGGTATATATATGGAAGATGCGTTCTTCATATTTTACTGTTTGATGGAATGACTGGAAGTTTCTATGAGCTTTTACATAAAGCCACATGGCCGGTTTTGTGCTTTTCTGTGGGTATAAAATGGGTTTCAGAAGACGGTCATATGCATTTAGATATAACCGTAAATGTGGTCTTAGCCGGCTCCAGTTCAGATTAGTCGGCTGTAGTGATTTTCCGGTGCTCCAATTCAGATTAGTCGGCTGCAGTGATTTTCGGATATTGACAAAAAAAAATATGCATTTAGATCAATAAATAAATAAATAAATAATCAGTCAAAAGATCTGATGTTAATATAAGAGTTGATAAAACAAAAATGTTTGTATTTAAAGTTTAAAACGAGCATCAAATTAAAATCTAAAATGACTTTTGACGGAACTTTAGGTGGTTCAGTAACTCTTAAATTAACACGTGGATTAATACAACTGTTATAAAATTCAAAAGGTGCCGAGGAATAATGGTTCGAAGGAGTTGGGTACACTTGTTGATACCAGCATTTAAGAAAACATGACAGCTCATTAATGAGATGTGAGTGACTAAGACAGGACTATTAATAAGTTTCTGTATTCTCGAGACCCAAAAGTAGTAGTCATGATGGCGAAACATTAATGACTATTCTGTCGAGTATGTTCGTTCGGCGTGCATCGAATGACTGTTCCCCAAAAATTGAAAGCTCTAGAATAAGTGTCAGGTGCTTATTAAAGGAACTTGATTGTCTTGAGGATAGCCATAATTGCTCGACTTAACCCTGAGCACTTGTCTTGTCATTCGATCATTAAAGACATAAGGATATGAGCGAAGAACATTTATTACGCATAGAAATGAGTGCAGATCATTAAATGTCAAGATGAGACTGTCTATCATGGTACTCATTACTAATCCAAATATAAATACCCATCAAAAAAATAAACCAAGGTACGCAAGACAAAATTGAGAGAAAAGAAACACTGTTTTTAGCCTCCAAATTTATACTGATTTAAATTTTAGAGAGGATAAGTCAGGTTTTCACCCGACCTCTTTTTTTTGACCTTGTGGTTGTTTCAAGTTTACTATCATGAGGATTGCTATCTCAATTTATTACAGGAAATCTCCCGTACAAATTCTATAATTTTATTTTGGTCAATTAAAATGAACTTCAAATTTTAATCCCAATATCAAACAAAAATTTGATCCCACAAAACAAGCGTTAAGGCAAAGAATTATTTAGTTAGCATCACGAGAATAGGGCGACACCATTTTTTTTTTCCTTCAATTTGATTCTATTTTTTTTTATCATCTAAGTTTGACTATTGTAATTTTGTCTTATTTTTTGAGTTAATGGTAATCACTAAATCAAAATAACACAATATTTTTCAATTATGCTCATAAATTTGTAAATTACACAAATCAGAAAGTAACTAATTCGAGAGTAACTCAACTGGTAATAGAAATAAGTTGTAAATTCTTGTGCCGATTACGCTCTCAAACTTAACAGTTAATCACTTTAACTTGAGTCGTTTCAGAGTATGTCTTTAGAGTAATAAGGGTGACTAACTTTTAAAGGATCTGAAAAGAAATTAAACTTAAAATCTCTAAATTGCTAAAGATCATATTCAATCATTAAAACCGCTTTAAAAAATTGATTAAGATTTCGATTTACTCGAGTATAATAAGGGAATTTGTTCATCCGGAAGTCCAATCTTGAGGATAAGACCTATAAATGTTTTTTGTACATTTTTGTTGGGGTGCCTGAGGTGGCGCAATCTAGACAGCCTCTTATTTTCCATTTGGATGACGTGTCATTGCTGGTCAGTATTAAATGGGACAAATTACCAATCAAAATATTGTGAGGAATTAGATTATTAAATATATATATATATTTTTTGATATTTCAACTACCCCAATAAATCACTATATTATTTCTCTGCTCACGTACCGAATTAATATTGGATTTTATACAAAATAGCCTCTCCACACAAGGGTGTAAACTATGACGATGGCTCAAAAGGACTCTGTTTTGTGAAATGTTTGAACCCCTAATCTATCTTTTATGAAAAATTTATTAGGTGACTAAGCTACCATTGGACTAATTCTTTCGGGTTAGTCTAAATAAAATTATTAAAATAAAATTTACCAATTTTGATTCAAATGAAGCAAAATAGAAAGTTTATAACCGAGTGATATTACCTTCAACATGCTGTCTCTCCTTTTGAGTGTTTTTTTTTTTTTTATAGAAGTGTTAGAGTTTGCCATTTGATAAAAAAAAAATGAACCTAAATGCATGTTAACCTAGTTGTCGGTCCATGGTATCTGGCAAATAACTTGGACCAATCTCAGTGTTATTTTTTTTCATTAAGTGCTTGGATTTTCAAATTATGATCACTCGCTTCCTGAATCTATGTTGGCATATTATATAGGAAGATGACGATGCAAAGAATGATACGCAAAGTCCACGAGGGGGTGCACCGACGGAATAGAAGCGTACTGATTTGGATATTTCTCCTACTGCCGCTCGAGAATGTTCCAAGCCTAAAGTAATAAGTGTCAATGAGATTTTTTTTTTATTTTTAATAATATTTGTATTTTAATTTAAACTTTACTAAAATATATTTAAAATTATGCTAACATCTTTTTTGATTTAATAGTATGACTTTTGAGTTTTGATCACATTTTGATAGGATTATAATTTATTGCCTCATTAATATTTATCGAAATTGTGGTATTACATTATTGACTACTATTATAAATATATTCATTACTATCTTTTTGTTAAATTATTCTATTACCTTCAAAAAATTTAGGTTTTTTTACTTGTCGACCCAACACTGTTCTACTATTAAAGTATTACATATATTCAAAACCATTTTATATTAACAATACTTAAATGTAATCAGTTGAGTAATGTTACTTAGATTTAAATTATAATTTATTGACATAATTTATTATAACAGTTAGATTAACAATAAGTCTTAATATTGAAAATGACCTATTATTAGTTCAATATTTTTAGTGAATTAAGTCCATAAATTATGTCTGAATTACAATATTATCATCCGAGTAGTTGCTTTGTTCACATGTCCATTAATTATTAGGCATTATTTTTATGTGTGGGCGTGTTTAGTTTACTCCAAATCAAAAATGGAATCACTAAAGGACTCTCAACCGTCCTAATGGTATGGGTCGGGGTAGGACCACAAATGAGTTGGGTTAGTTGCTCCGATTGCTTAAGCTTTTAATCCTAAATTATAACCCAAGTTCCAAATTAATTGATCTAGTCGGTCTTAAAACGTAGAATGGAATTCAAACAACATTTAGTGCCAAAAACACAGCCCAACTATTCGGATAGACGTCTGTGCGTGCAAGATCCTGCACAATATAAAAAACGAGAACAGATCTCTCCTTTGGTGAACTCGAGTGAGCCGGTTGAGTGACCAAACACGCTGTTTGGGACAGCCTGCAAGGTACGGTGGTAACTTGGAACGGCAATGGGAGATCCTGGGAACAGAAGAACGATCTAGTGAGGCTGAAAGAGGTTCCTGGAACAAAGAAGAACAAGTTAGAAGGGCGCCGGAGTGTTTTTCGGCGTATCCCCTCCGACGATCTAGTCAGTCTTTTGGAAAGAGAGAGGAATGAGAAAGCACTGAGAATGTATTGTAGTAGAGAGTTTGTTGTTGCATACCCGTTTTGCCTTTTGCAAGGAGTATTTATACCTTAAAATCTCATGATTGCTGTCAGTGTGGTCAGTAGGTGATCATTAGGCACAGGTAGCGTGCGCATTGATTCTGATGAGGAATGTCTTCTCTAATTAACTGCTCGGGGTCCCGAGCAATCAATGCTGGGTCATCGGGATGCCGACGGTACAATGTGCTCCTCTCGGGGAGGATGCAATAAATGCTCTGTATTAGGAGCATTTATTGTCTTTCATTTCCGAACCTTACCACATTGAATGCGGTCTCATCAAGGGAATGGTGCAATTAATTGTTTGCTTTCCCAAGTCGCGTGTCAGCAACGACATGCGGTTTGTCTGTCTTTGATATGATATCATATGCCACGCGTCCATCCCCTATTGACTGTGACCTCTGTATTCCAGTACGTTCTGACATTACTTGTGTAAGACGAGGTCATGATGAATAGCCTAGACTAGCCTAGGCTAATGACCTGTACGTCAATAACTTATCCTGGAGTAGAGGAAGCGTCCAGGACGGGGTACCTCTCGGCACCGAGGAAAGGCTCATCTCGGGGACCGAGGGAGGTATGCCGACCGAGGTACATATCAGACCGAGGCCACGTGTCGGTTGTAAAATATACTGAATGTATGATCCTATATGACGGTACCTCGGGGGCGAGGACATTCGTGCGCCGATGGTGCTTGATCTTAGCAACAGTGTTTTAGTAATACCGAGGACACGTGTCTTCATCATAGGGTATTTCAGAAAAGTCCCATCAACTGCCCCCCAGCCTTCGATCTTCTGACACCGAGGACACGCGTCGTAAGGAGACGAAGGGTTTCCCAACAACCACCAGTACTTCATCATTGCCTCGAGCCGCTTTCCCCGGCTTGGGATGTCGTGCGCATTAAATGCGCCGTTTCGTTTTTCGCGCCCAATGATGAAAATTGCCTCTATATAAAGGGGGCTCCTCTTCCGTTTTCCTCGTTTTGCCATTTCGAACTTCCTCAAGAGAGCCTCTTCTTGAATCTTCGCCGGAGTTTTGTTTCTTCTTCCATCGTCGACTGCCCATTCTTCCTTAAAATCTTAAAGCCAGCAGACCCATCGTTGATTCTGAACTTTCTGGAGGGAGTCGCTTTAAGGTTTTCCAGAAAAAACTCCGTTTTGACATTCGGGTGAGTTTCAGAATCCTCTTTCTTTTCTTCCTCCTAGCTTTTTGTTTTCCGATTGACTGGAGGTGTC